ACTCACCTCCACAGTACCCATGGTGCGAAAAATACGGTGACACTTCTCTAGAAAATCCTGCACATCCTTGGTAGTTGTGCCACTGAAAGTAGGTGGATCATACTTCTTGAACCTCTCAAGCCTCTTCTGCTCCTCCTCTGATGCCCCTGGCCTGACCTCAGGCTGAACCGGGATAACAGGTTGTACCGGCATAACACCCGTAACCTAACCAATGTGAGCCCGCTGCTCTGGAGTACGGGTGGTGGGAGTCTGAGCTCCTCCTCCAATCGAAGTAGAGGGTGCAACTGGGATCAATCTCGCCTGAACCAATGTACCAAACATGCTCAGGAACTGCGTTAAAGTCTCCTGAAGTCTGGGGGGTAGCAACATGCGCCTCCAGTGCCTATCCCCCAACCATAGCTACTGGTGGCTTCTTAGTTGCTACTCTGGCAGGTGCTCTAGCTGTGGCACGTGCCCCTCCTTTGCCTCTACCTCGGCCACGGCCTCTCGCAGCTCTAGCAGGCGACGCGGATGTCTGCTCAGCTGATCCGGTAGTGCGTGTCCTCATCATCTGAGAGAGAATAGAGATACAAATGCTCAAACTCCAAAAGCAATGAATCTGCACGATAAGGATGAAAGAAGTGGAATTTTCCTAATAGTTCTGTAGCCTCTCGAAGATACGTACAAACATCTCCGTGTCGATCCACAATACTCTACTTAACTTGCTCGTAACTCGTAGAACCTATAAACCTAGAGCTCTGATACTAACTTGTCACGACCCAAAATCCCGCCTCAGGCGTCATGATGGCACCTAGTCTCTAAGACTAGGTAAGCCGATTACTTACAACAGTTAAATATGATATCACAAAATAGAGTTTAATGTAAATACCGAAATAAAGGTGAAACAAGCCTACACGACAATAATCACAACAACCTCCTAAGACTAGGTAATACAGAGTCACGAACTCTAGATGAATACATAGGAATATCTCAAAAACAAAATACAATACTGTTCGAATAACGAATCAACAGTACAATCAAAAGGAAAAGACTCCAAGGGACTGCGACGACCGAGAAGCTCTACCTTGAATCCTCGCGATCAAGAAGCTAACTCTGCCCGAGTCCGTTATCTCCAATACCTGGATCTGCGAAACAATATACAGAAGTATAGTATGAGTATACCACAGTTGGTACTCAATAAGTATCAAGACTAACCTCGGTAGATTAGTGATGAGGTACAAGTCAAAACACCTAGTAGTCATAAAACGTGTGCAATATATAAGTATAAAGCTAATAATGGAAACAAGAATCAGTAATTGGAAACAAGGAATAAACATGTGATATAAACAATGAAGTAATCTGAACACCGTTAAAGTACTAGTGAAACCGATTGAAAACAAATGACAACTGAATAATCAAACCATTCTAACACAAGTTTCGCCACAAAATCTCTCCGAGATACCTTATCTCATAAACACAAATCACAAGTCCCAAATCACAAGTCATGTACTCATAGTACCTCGTGCCCATATTATTAATCACAACCGTACGGGTAACTCAAGTGCCAATATCTCATCCACCCGGCTTAGTCACATGCTCACTATCATGATCCGCCCGGCGTGGTCACAGACTCAATATCACAATGGAAGCAGATAATACAAGAATACCTGTGCATGATCAATGAATGCCAAGTTTCATACTCCTAAACTGGTGTACACGGCAATGCTACGGTGTATGCTTGTGCGAGTGTACTGTTACGGTCCAAGTCAATAAGTAATATCAAAGACATCTAGGAATTCACTGCAAACAACATAACACGTCACATAAGGTGCATGACATACATAAGGAAAATCACACCATCACACGAATATCATCAACAATATGCCCCCAAGTCGTCACGTATCATCCCTGACATAGCCACCCTTATCTCTCCGCATTGACAATATCACAATAGTCAACCTTATCGCTCCGCCCAGACAATATATCACAATAGCCACTTGTATCTCTCCGCATAATGGCCATCCTTATCGCTCCGCCCAAATAATAAACATAATAGCCACCCGTATCACTCTGCATAATCAGCAACAGTCAACAGTGAGATGCCACCCTTATGCTCCGCATTGCAATAATCAGTCTACACACAAATCCACATGTGCTAACATCATAACAACATGACATATCAATTCGTATCATAAGTGCCCATAGGCCACAACCTTTCCAAAACAACAAAATCGGTGTCACCACAACAGCCCACGGCTCAACCACAATGTGAACAAGAATCTTAATAACAACAGAATGAAACGAAAAATAACTCAACAATGAAGGATACTCCATAAAACAACAACTTCAACTAAAATAGGTTAATAACTCTCAACAAGTCCAACTCCCATTACTTACTTATGAATGAACTTAACAATGAAAGGCATGACGTACACTAATAACTTCAATTGAATACATATAAGAGTAACTCAACTACGATAAATAGAACATGTACAAAAAACTTCGGTTAAAGCATAATAAACTTGACAATGAAAGATCTAGCATGTATTAGTAACTTCAATTAAGACACATAATAGTAAACTCGGCAATGGAAGCTAGAGCATGAAATAACGACTACAATCTAAGCATATAAGACTGAATTCAACAATGAAAGACGTAACAAGTAATAATAACTTCTAATTAAATGCATAAAGTAACATAAGAGTCTAAACCGGTCAATTTTGCCACATATAAGCCGGGTACAAACTCGTCACCTCATGTACACATCTTCCACATAATTCAAACAATACATTCAACCCAAATCCTAAGGGGTAGTTCCCACACACAAGGTTAGGTAAGATACTTACCTCAAAGAAGCTAAATCAATACTCTCAAAAGACCTTCCCGTGTGAAACAACCTCCGGACGGCTCAAATCTAACCAAAATAACTTAATATCAAAAATAAAAGCCATAAAAAATAATTTTGGATAATAAAGTTTCGATCTTTAATGAAAACCAAAAAGTAAATCCAAAAAGTCAACACCGGGCCCGCACATCGGAACCCAATAAAATTCACTAAATTCGAACACCCATTTCGATACGAGTTCAACCATACCAAAATCATCCAATTCTGACCTCAAATTCGGTCTTCAAATCATCATTTTATATTTTAGAAAGTTTTTACAAAAATCTCCAATTTCCTCCAATTTAAATCACTAATTAAATGATAAAAAAAAGATGGAATCATGAAATATATCCAAACCATAGTCAAGAAAACTTACCCCAATCCAAATGGTAAAAATCCCCTCCAAAATCGGTCAAAATCGAGCTCTACAACTCAATATGTGATAAAAACAATCGAACCCTCGATATATAACATGTTCTGCCTAGCACTTTCGCTTTTGCAGACCCTCAGTTGCATTTGCGAAACCGCATCTGCGAAAATATCATCGCAGATGCGAAATCAACTAAAATCCCAAATGTCCGCTTATGCGTCCAAGACACTGCATTTGCGAACAATGAAGCGCACCTGCGCGGCCGCTTTTGCAACAAAACCTTGCATCTGTGGAAACCTCCTACCAAGCTCACTACCGCACCTGCGCATACTGACTCGTACCTGTGGAGCCGCATCTGCGAGAATGACATCGGAGATGCACAACACCTCAGCTCCCAGTCAGCTCTCTTCTCTGCCCTCTCGTCCGCACCTGCGCCCAATGGTCCGCAGGCGCGACCACACCAGATCCCTGCCCAAACCAGCTTCAACCAACATAATCCAAATGATTTTAAACACGTCCGAAATACATCCGAGGCCCCCCGAGACCCCGTCCAATAGCACTAACCAATCTCAAAACATAATGTGGACCTATTCGAGGCCTCAAATCACACCAAACAACAACAAAACTACAAATCACACCTCAATTCAAGCCTAATGAACTAATGAACTAATGAACTATCAACTTCTACAACTCGCGCCGAGTCATATCAAATCAACTCGGAATGACCCCAAAATTTTCATGCAAGTCCCAAATGACACAACATACCTATATCAACTCCCGGAATCATAATCCGAACTCGATATCAACAAAGTCAACTCATGGTCAAACTTTTCAACCTTCCAAACCTTCATCTTTCGAACTTTCGCCAAAAAGCATCAGATCAACCTACGGACCTCCAAATCAAAATCCACACATACGCCTAAGTCCAAAATCACCATACGAAGCTATTGGAATCATCAAAACAACATTCTGAAGTCGTCTACACAAAAATCAAACTCCAGTTAACTCTTACCACTTAAGCTTCTAAAACAAAAATCATTTTTTCAATTAAATCCCGAATCGCCCGAAAACCGAAACCGACTATACACGCAAGTCATAATACATAATATGAAACCTCTCAAGACCTTAAACCACCTAATGGAATGCTAAGGCTCAAAACGATTGGTCGGATCGTTACAAGAGTGTTTGAATTTGGTGATTAACCTTGTAAATTATTTCAAAGAGAGATATGAGATGAAGAAAAGAAGAAACGACAGCTTAAAAAAAATATTTATAGTAGCGAGACTATTCCAAAGAGGATAGGAGAGGAGAAGAAGAATAAAAATATACACTAAAATAAAAAAGAGAAGAAAGGGATAGTAGAAAAAAAAGAAAAGGTTTAATTAATGAGGGATAATTTAAACAATATAAATCTTCCATAAGATTTTTTTTGTAAAAAATATAATTTTTACTTCTACTTCTACTTGTTGAAGAAGCTAGAACTTGTTATTTATCTTCAAAAAAATTATTTCGACTTCTGCTTAAAATTATTTTTTTGTATTGGCCAAACACCTTAAATTTTTAAAAATATATTTTCTTAATTAAAATTACGCTTTTGACGTCGTAAAAGCTTGGCCAAATATCCTAGTAAAGTAACTATAATAATAACTTTCATAACAAGTGATAAAAGGAATTGTTTTCTTGTTTCTTGCGGAAAAAGGAAGATTCGCGCGTGAAGAAAACGCGCGCAAGCACGTGGAAGGTTCTACAGCTGCGCAGACAAAGCTCCTCTTAAACCCCATTTCCCTGTCCTCTCCTCTCTAAAACCCCAAAAATCAGTACTACCATTTCCGCTGTTCCTTAAACCCTTAAATTCGCCGACCAAACTCCGGTGATGACAAAATTATCGAAGCTAAATGTATCGAACCCCAAAATCTGGGTTGTGATCGGCGTCGGTGTCGCCGGAATATTGATCCTGGCTGAAGTTCAACGGCGACGATTGAAAGCCAGAAACTCAATCAAAGAAGATTTTGGCGCGTTCATTGAACGCGTTGAGCTGCTTCCGTTTCCTCAACCACCTCCTCCTGCTGCTCCACTTTCCCTTTCTGCCCTCACTTTTGCCATCAAAGACAAGTTCGTCACACTCCTCTGTTAAATAAATTTGGCCATTTGATAAAGAACAGTTTGTTTTTAAATTGTTCTTTTTGGACTAACATTTTTGTTTTCATAAATGCAATTTTGGACGTGGAATTGGTTTTAAACTGTTTTTTTTTTCCCTGTATTTGCGCTGCTATAGTATTGATGTGAAGGAATATGTGACGGGTTTCGGTAGTCCGGAGTGGAAGCGGACGCATGAGGTGGCTACGAAGACAGCCATGGTCGTGACTGCTCTTTTGAAGAATGGTGCTACTTGTGTTGGAAAGACCATCATGGATGAATTCGGACTCGGGTAGCTATGCTTTAATACTATGTATTCTTTGGCGTTAATCCTTCTCATTTTATATGACGATATTTATTTGGATACGGAGTTTCAAAAGTTAATTTGAATCATAGGTGTGTTTGGTATGAAGGAAGTCATTTTCCATGGAAAATATTTTCTTAGAAAATGTTTCATGGAAATATTTTCCTAGAAAATGTTTTCTAGTATTTGGTTGGTGAGTGAAGTTTTTCCCCAGAAGAAATATATACTAAAGATTAACAATAATATCCACAAATGGGAGAGTGTTTTGAAGAAATTTTGGGTACTAGAGATTAATGGTAATGTCTAACTGTTAATTGAAACAAATAATATGAAGTTAGATATTGTGATAGTTGCAAGGAAAATGACTTCAGCCCACAAGTGAGAGAGATCATTTTCCTCCTTTTGATGGAAAATGTTTTCCATGAAAAATGACTTCCGTCGTACCAAACGCCATGATTTCCTCATGATATTTTCCTGGAAGTCATTTTCCCTCATACCAAACACACCCTGTATATCTATTAGATAAACATTAAATTAATCATGAACAGTAGTTTGATAGAGAAAACATCTCATCAAAATCCAAATATTGAATCATTCAATGAATTTGAATTCTTAAAAGTTGTGAAAGATGTATAGGAATGGAATGGTAACAAACATTCTCGAATGTCTCAAAATGGCAAGAGTGTTTGAAAATTTGGGATGGAGGGAGTATGATTTTCAGCTATATCAATGGCTGTTATTGGACGCTGCACTAAGCCGCTAACTTTCCTCCCCCCGGAATGTTTCAGGGTTACTGGAGAGAATCTGCACTACGGTACTCCAACAAATCCAAAAGTGCGATCTCATAGTCCGGGTGGCTCATCCAGTGGTTCGGCTGTTGCTGTTGCAGCTGAACTAGTTGATTTTGCTCTAGGTATGTTTTTTCAATTGAAGTTACAGTTATTAAGAGTCACTGATTCAAAATTTTCCTCTTCTTGTGTTCTCTGTTTCATTTTGATTAAGTTGTAATGGTTTAAAGTATGCATATGATGCACGAATATGTTGGACCTACTGAAGATATGCTGTAGTCAAGGCCTCCTCTTTGGTGCCTTCCCTTTTTTTTTTCTTTTTCTTTTTCTTCTTTTGGATAATAAAAGAAGACCTATGGATTTAATTTTTACGAGGTTGATTGGTTTTTGTTTAACTAGATTGGAGTGGTAATAATTTGTAAAAGAATTTGACTTCAGATTCAGGAAATTAGATGGTTACAGAGGCTGAATTATTGCAGGTACTGATACGACTGGGTGCATTAGAGTACCAGCAGCATTTTGTGGTGTCCTTGGGTTTAGACCATCACATGGAGCCATATCAACTATTGGCGTCCTGCCTGTATCGCAAAGTTTAGACAGTATTGGTATGTATAATTTCGTTATCTCCAAACTATTACCACAGTATTTGCTTTGTGACTAATAGGAGGCCAAAATCTTTATCTGCAGTTGTATGTAAGCATTTAATGAAGAGGTAGAAATAGCCTCCCAGCAAAAGTCCCTTAAACTTTTTATTGCAAAACGCATTGGTGGAAACCAGGATAATAAAAAGTTCTTCCCTTTTTCATATTAGAACAGCACCAAAAAAAGGAGAAAAAAGGTTGAAAAGTTTTTATGCCAAATGGGATAAAAAGGAAATTTTACCTGTTCTCTTCTTTACCGTTGTAGGCCCCAATCCAGCCCCAATTTCTGATACTCTTCACAACCATAAAACTAGTTGACACAAGAACTTACTAAAACATGTCTTGATTTATTAGGCAACTATTTAATTGGGCTAATGTAAATTAGGTGGCTTCCTCAGGAATAAATAAGTTAATGAATTAAAGGAAATAATAAAAAACTACAATATTTAGTAATAATCAAGGACTTGGAAACATTTCTATTACAAGGGCATTCCTGGATATTTTAAAGTTAAGTGTTGTTTCTAAATTTCTTAACGCATGCAGGATCTTAGAGGATACTCCATATTTTTCTACTTTATCTTTAGCCACATTGCTGGCAACCTATTTCTGCATTCTACAGTCCTATCTTATTGAGATTTCTTCTTTGGCGTTGTCCAGCTTGTCACATATTTGTAAAAATAACGTGCCCCATCTATTTGTCTTGTCAAATTTGTCGACTGGCCACACCAGAAGGTGTGTTTTCTTAAGGTGAATACAATGGTAAAAACTTACTCTAGAATCCTCCTCAGCGCCCCATGCCCCACTTGCTAGGTCTAGTACTGGCATTAACAACCATGTCAACAGTCCAGATTAGCTGCCAAATTCGCAGCCATGTGAATAACCAGTCAAGTCAACAATCTACTTCAGAACACCAGAGGGTGTGTTTTCTTAAGGTGAATACAATGGTAAAAACTTACTCTAGAATCCTCCTCAGCACCCCATGCCCCACATGCTAGGTCTAGTACTGGCATTAACAACCATGTCAACAGTCCACATTAGCTGCCACATTCGCAGCCATGTGAATAATCAGTCAAGTCAACAATCTACTTCAGCTGACTGATCTTGTTAGCTATCTGGGTCAAATGACATCTCCAATCACCTCACATCAATTGACCTGTGAAGTCAACATTTCGTGTAGTAGACATGTCCACTCAATTGTCCACATTTTTTACAAATTCTAAAGTGCTATTAATGGTTTTTTAATCATGTTTTGATTCTATTTGCAAATGTTAGATTCAGGCCATTATCAAGTATAATAGGGACAAATTCATACACGAGTTTGAAGTAGAGTGTTAAACTATTTCAGATTTATGAGGCAGCTACTTAATGTTATGAGGCAATTAGGTGACCGCTGTATTAGTGTTAGCAACTATTGGTGTATGTTTTTTTTTTTTTTTGAGAAGGTAACATATTAGTATATATAATAAAATTAGATTACAGAGCAGTGTAGTCCTATATAGTTATAAGGAGAGTTGAAGCCTGAGTTCCTAAGTCTTAACCTATCATAAGTAATCTAAAATCTCATAAATAAATTCAGCTTCTTTGTAAGTACTCATGTTTATACCAAAAATAAAATAGGACTAAACAATTCATCTTCAGCTTCTCAATGGAACTATTGTTATCTTCATTAACCATTGGTGTATGGTTAATGAAGCTATCCATAATTAGAAGGATAGGAAATTATAGTAAATAAGGTAACTTTGTATCTGTAAATAAAATCAATAAAAACAGAGGCACCATTCTCACGAAAGCATTCTCACGCATTCTGAAATATTCAATTTTCTCTAACTTAGTTCTTTGCACTACCATCACTATCGTTTCTTATAATGCTTTCCTTCCTAATAGCTCCCAGCGTTCGTCTCCTATTGTCGGTATTGGCCCAATAAAGTACTTTTACCATTGGTGTTCTTTCCAATCCATACATTTCACCATTCCCTTGGAAATATCCGCTGCCCATATTGTATTCCAGCTTGATACTTGCACTGCCTCTCAAGGATTGATCCTTAGGATTTTAAGGTGGACATAAAACTATCTACAGATTCTTAGCTAGCGTTTGGACATAGATTTGGTTGAAATTTAAAAAAAAAATGAGTTTTTGAAGATGAGATGAAGAATGATTTTTGAAAGTTGAAATTGTGTTTGGACATGCATTTTACTTGAAAATAATTTGAAGTTTTGTGAGTAGAAAACTTCAAAAACTACTCTAGAGCTGTTTTTGAGATTTGAAGATTTTGTTTTCAAAATTTGCCAAAAATGGTTAAAATCTATAAACAAATGGATATTTGAAAACAAAATTTGAAAAAAAGCTCCCAAATTCTATGGCCTAACGGGAGCTGAACTCTCAATCATTTCTTGTAACGCTTGCATCCCTTGTCGATGCTTATTCTCCAAATAACGTCATTGCCTTTTCTAGGAAAAAGGTTCTCTAACCTTGGGCACTTCATCTCTACGTGGCACTGGTCTATCAGGCTCTCGCTCATTGCAGGAAATTTTTACTGTCGCATCCCTTAGGAGTGTAAGCCGTGTCCAGTCTGTCCCTCTGCTCAGATCAATTATTGATTATTGAGTTGGTGAGCAATTCTTTCACCTACTACTAGTAGCTAATCAAACACGAGCCTATGGATACAATTTTTAAATATTGGATTTTCATTCCTCCTTTTGCTCCTTCGCTTCTTCCTTCTTCTACTCCTCAACATGTGGACTATGGCGGACTTTACTATTGTTCTCCTCCTTCCAGAGGCAGGTCCATACCAAGTTTGGTGGATAAGACTGCATGCTCATATCTAAGAGTTAGTAGTACTTCCATTGAAACCATATGAATTATGATTATGTTAACCTTCAAATGAATTTTTGCGCAATAAGGGCTGGGACCATTGCGATTGTCTTGATGTTGCTCAATGGCTATTGTTACAGGGTCAATTTTTTTCGTGTTGACACTGCACGGCGGTCACACAACAATGACTCGTCCCTCTTCTTTTTCCCTCACGTTTTGGGCTTAACACTTAGATTATGACAGCATATAGAAATCAGACAAGGCACACAACTTACACACAGCTTATAGGAATTTTTTCCCAACTTTGTATTAACTCGTGCTATAAAGAAGCACATAAAAACAGCCTTACAAAAAGGAGTCAAAGGCAGCCAACACTCTACCTTGATAATCTGCCTAGACTAAGGATATATAAGCAACGTTTTTGGCTCACAGCCCTATCCAAAACCTAGCAGTTGACATCCCCAACTGCAAGAGATTTTAAATTTTGAATTTTAAACAAGACAACTTCCCACAGCCCCACATAGCCACTATGCTGAAAAACAGGAAAGTGCCCAAGCTGGCCAACTGCCTTGCATGTGCGTGGCACATGGGCGCAACCTTTGAATTTTGCCGCCAACAGGCCAACTCTGTCATGTCTTCGCGCCAAGCTCTCGTGCAGCATGCCTTTGCGCGCATGTCTGCCACTGCCGCATGCCCAACTCGCCCATGACATTGCCTTGTCCGCGCCCATCTGCCTTGCCACGCTCTGCCTTAGCTTGCCTTAGTTTTTCCGGCCTTTGCTATGCTTCTGCTGCCCGTTGTCTTTGCCTTGCCATGGCCACACCAATGCTATGGTCTTGTTATGCCTTGGCACCTTAGCCACATGCCGTCGTGCCACAGTCCATGCCCATCAACACCTGCCCATGTCGGACAGCCTTGTCAACATGATGCCACAGTCATCGTAGGGCCGTGCCGAGGTCCATCATGTAAATCCCTCGTCACGCCCATGCCATGTTCGATCAATCAAGCCGAGGGGCTAACAACTATCCAATTACAGACTTGTGGCTCCCGAGGCAATTGCCCTCAGCTACTCCTTTTTCATTACCATGAAACCTGCAGAAGGTGTTCCATATTGACTAGGTTTGTGGGAATCGTACTTAGGGGTGCCTGGTGGGAAATTTGCAATTGCGTGCCGTTTTGCAATCTACTGTTTTAGACATTTTAGCTGCAAATACATTTAAAATAAAATGCATGAATGGAAGTGGGTTAAGGGACTATTGCGGGGAAAAAGAGTTTATATTAGGTCTACAGGTCAGTCAACCTTGTATAGGCGAGTGAACTATTGAGCCGATAAATGTTGGTTGATCATATATCCTTTCATTAAATTTCCTTGAATCATAGTATCCTTTCATATTTTATTCCTTCATCTAATTGCGACGATCTATTCTTTAAAAGAATCAACAATGGACAATTTATTATGTATCACAAAAGTAAACACTAAACTAACAAAAGACACAGAGAACAAAGATATTTTCGATGACTGGTTGATACAAGAAGTTCGGTAAAAGCAACGGNATGGTAAAGGTGAAATTTCAGCTTCTGAAGTTTGATTAACTGAAAATTAAGATGGTCACTGTTATTAAAAAAAAAAAAGTTTACGTTGGTGACTATTGGAAAAATATGCAGAATTCTCAGGTATTAGTGCTAGGCATTATATCAGTTTCAATTTTTGATGATAGCAATGCCTTTATCAGGATGGTTGGCCCGTGATCCATCTGTGCTGCATCGAGTTGGACATGTTTTACTTCAGTTAGCATCAGTTGAACCTAAGAGGACAAGATACTTTGTCATAGCCGATGATCTTTTTCAGCTGTGTAAAGTACCAAAGCAGAAGACGATGTATGTTGTGAGCAAAGTAATAGAAAAATTATCTGGATGTAAGTTGCAGGTTGCCTTTTCCTTTTTCCTCCTAATTTATAAGTATTACAATTCTTCGATGCAGTCATTCGGGTGGCAGATGCTGGTATTATCTACTTCCTTTGTATCACTTATTTTTCTTGTATTTGCACAGATCAGACACCAAAACATCTGAACCTTGGGCAGTATATTGCATCAAATGTACCCAGCTTGAAGGGTTTTCGTGAGGACTCAGCCAACCAGCAAAATGGGATGTCTACCCTGACGGCTCTCTCTTCTGTGATGTTTCTTCTTCAAAGGTCATGCACATTCCATTCTTTGATGGACTAGTCTGATTTTCTTACTAGAAAGACTTTTTAAGCTGCTCTTATTATGCTTTCCACTTTCACTTTTTCTGTCTGATAGCATGTCCTGCTATGTGCCGTATCTTAGTGGTTTATAATTTAGTATGCACCAGAATTGGTTTCAGAAAATTTTGAGCATCTCATTTGCTGGATTCTCTCTTCACAAAAATCTGTCCACGAAAATCTCCAAAGCCCTTCCTGTCAACTCCTCTCTCTCTCTCTCTCTCTCTCTCTCTCTCTCTCTCTCTTTTGGACAGAAAGCTAATAGCATCTGGCTACAGTTTAGTTATGGCCTCCTGCATTGGGTTGGCCACCTTGTGAGATAGCAGTGTTTGTCTATGTGAGGAACCTCAGGCACGCATGTGCAAAATATCGACCTGCCCTCCAGCGTGGTTTATTTGTTGGCAAGATCATCTGCTTCTTTCTTGCAACGTCTCCTGTACCCTCCTGGGTTCCATCTGCATGGAGATAGTTTGTTTCCCAGAGGTTCTCCTTTTGCCTTTTCTTTTGTGGCGTTGGGAATCTCATCTTGAGTTCTGTAAATCCATGGGGAGAAGATGGTTGTTTCTCTCCTTCAACGAGAGTCCACTGTTTGCCTAGCTAGTTTGTATATTCTTCTTTTCCTCATCTTCACTAAAGTCTTGGTTCACTTGTAGAATAAAGAAAGCTACTTCTCTGTTGTTTGATTCAAGAAATAGTCTCAAGTTTATGGACAACTCTAGATCTGATTCGTAGTAAACTAATTATTTGATACTCTTGCACATTAGATGATGCATAAACTCATTATGAAGTATTTGACATAGAGGGGATACTGGAATTGGAGCTGAATGGTTTCATATTCGAAAACCCATTTTTTGATCCTATTCTAAATTGTTCTGCTGTTTCGCTAAATTCTCAATCGTGACCATATTCATCTTGCAAATGTAGTAGGATTCTCACCTTTGCTCTGTTCACTATATCTGAAAGATTTCTGCGTAATTTATGATTTATCACCAAAGCAACTATGGGGCACACCTAGCACTGGCAGTATGTTTCACTAAACCACTTTCACCTTGAGACTTTCAACCGCTAGCTGGAGTTTTTCATATCTTAAAGCACTCCACCTTGTCAATATATCAATAGCTTTGTCAAAACTGCAATTATTTGGAAGTTAAGTAGCACGTGACTTGTTAATTGATAGTTATAGTGCTGCATTTTGCACTTTTAGCAGTAAAGCGCTGACAACCGTGTGCAAGGAGCTGCTGATCTTCTCTATTAGTAGTAAAGCTCCGACGGATAGCAGGTAGTGGTGGGAAATGTCGAACTGGATTTTTTGCCTGCAGGGCTTAGTTCAAGTGGCAAAGGTTGAGGGACTTGTGACTTAGGTCACAGGTTCGAGCCCTGCGACATTGCGAACTAAGCCTGGTGTTTAAGTGGATAAGGGTAGGGGGTGGACCAAGTATCCCTGAGTTTCGAAGGCTGCGGTCGGTCCGAGACAGATTTCTCAGTCATTAAAAAAAATTTAGCGAACTGGATTTTTTTTTTTTTTTTGATAAG